TATGAAAAATTTGCATCAAAAGTGAGTATAATATGTGACCCTGGAGCACAAAAGCGGTCTTAAGTCGCTGGGGTATATTTGTAGCAATAGCCAAAAATACATTGTATGGGTCAAAATGATTGATTTTTCTTTTATGCCAAAAATCATTAGGATATTAAGTAAAGATCATGTTCCATGAAGATATTTTGTAAATTTCCTACTGTAAATATATCAAAACTTAATTTTTGATTAGTAATATGCATTGCTAAGAACTTCATTTGGACAACTTTACAGGCGATTTTCTCAATATTTAGATTATTTTGCAACCTCAGATTCCAGATTTTCAAATAGGTGTATCTCGACCAAATATTGTCCTATCCTAACAAACCATACATCAATGGAAAGCTTATTTAATCAGCTTTCAGATGATGTATAAATCTAAATTTTGAAAAATTGACCCTTATGACTGGTTTTGTGGTCCAGGGTCACATATGATCCCAAAGGAGCGTCATCATTAGGATAATCTCACTAACTCTAGTACAGTCCTACTTTCACTAGCTGGTTATTATCCCCTTTAACACCTTTCACTCTGATTTGATCTGCGACTCGTGTTGTTCACTAGGTTGAGGTTGAAGGCATTTGTGAAAAGCTGCATGGAAGCTGCATTCTTGTTTGGCTACATGGAAAGTCTTGTATAAAAATCTTACTTGGAAAAAAAAATAATAATGTAAATGAATGATGAAAGGTGCATTAAACGTGTTTCATAGCCTAATCTAAATAGCCTATAACTGTCTCAAAATTACCTATTGTAATGGTAAACCCCATGTTTTTATTTTTGGACTTGTACTTGTACTAGTTACTTGTAGTACACAATGATAAATAAATAAATAAATAAATAAATATTCTTGCTCCAAATTTTATTCTACAGACACAACATTCCAACATTAAAATTAAATAAATAATTCTGTGCAATAATAACAGTGTGCACATGGATACTATTTTTTTTTTTCCATGAAAAAAAAAAAAGAATCACGTAAAAACTGTGGTAAATGAATATAGTAATCATACAGTACCACATATCAAGGTACCATGGTATATGTCCCCCCCAAAAAAAACAGGATTTACCATGGTACTGCCACATTATGTTTCTGTAAAGGTGTGTTCTACATTTTGAAGAGCTAAAATAATAATAATATTAATAATAATAATAATAATACATTAGGGTAATAGTAAAAAATGTGACATACTGTTTTATTACAATAATAATAATAATAATAATAATAAACTAATTCTCAACATTATCTAAACTTCAATATCTACATACTGCTACTCCACACAATGCTCTTCAATATGGCCACTGCAGGTTTGCTTCCAGTTCACAAGATACTCAAGTTTAACAGTCTATATTTTATATGACGTTACATTTCACGTTATTGTTAGCTGATCTCATGAGGAGACACTGATACCCTGCAATGGCATCGCAAATCTAATGGGATTCCCCTGTAGCCACAAGGCAGGATCTCTGAGCATTTTCTGCTCCTGTTTATCAGAGGAAACCAACATCCCCTCAGGGTGTGTGTGTGTGTGTGTGTGTGTGTGTGTGGTTAATCTGAGCTCTATAAGCACTATTACAGTGAATGTATATGCTAACACTCAGCTGAGAGGTGCCGTCGATCATAATCCTCTCATTTTCACTGTGGACTTGGCTCATAGCCTCACACAGACAGTTCATCAAAAACCATCCCTCCGTTTTTCCACTCAAAAATAAAACCACCTCCGATGAAAAAGGAGGCTCATAAAAGACGCATTAACGCAGAAGTACGCAGACACGTACTGTGACACAATTAACACGCTGCCACACACTCACATTCTAACATGTTTGTGGCAAACTGCAGACTTTCAACCCTTGTGAGAAATTCAGCGGCCCAATTATTGAGAGTACGGGTGAAGAAAAGCTTCTTGGAAAGTCGTGGGAGGAAAACGTAGCAGTGAATTTAGTCGAAATCGTACAACTTGAGTGTCCTCCTCTCTACGCTACAGTTCTCAAGGCCAGCATTAAAGAAGACACACATTATGACACTGATGAACACCAATAATGTGCTGCACTCACTACATGAGCATTATCAGTGCAAATACTTTCCTTTTATATCCATTCTTAATATTAAATAATTGGTTACACTTTATTTCGATAGTCCACTTTAGACATTCTATTAACAGTAAGTAACTTTGCAACTACATGTCAACTAATTCTCATTAATTTGCAACTACATGTCTACTAACTCTCAGAGTAGACTGTTAGGGTAGGTTTAGGGTTAGTAGAATGTTGACAAAGAAAGTGTTAGAAGATATTAAGCAGACAGTCCACTAATACTCTACTAACTGCTAGTTGACATGTAGTTGCAAAGTTACTTACTGTTAATAGAATGTCTAAAGTGGACTATCGAAATAAAGTGTTACCAAATAATTAGAATTACTACATCCAAACCATAAAACATCTACTGGCAGCTTTTTTCTAGATTCTGAAGAACGTGTAGTAAAAATTTAAGGTTAAAAAATAAAACAAAGATTTTACAAGAAATCAATCTTTCGACTTCAAAATTTCAGGTTTAATCTAATGTGTTACTTGAAATTTCTGAGTGAAAGCAGGTTTTTTTTTTTCACTAAGATGTTCGGAGTGTTGCTAGGTGGTTATTTACTTGAAAAATAACCAGCAACCTACTAAGATTATATACTTAAAAAAAAAAAAGCCCACTCTCAAGACGCTATGATTTTTTCATTATAAATTGGATAATTTTGCAAAGTAAAAAAGTATGCAACTGAGGATTCATTCTAAAGGTTAAAATTTTAAGCATAGGCTGTAACTAGTGACACTGGCTTAAAGTATGCACACTAATTAAGACATTCTGTAATTAGGCCATTTACATGCAGACTGAGATCTCAATGCTTAAAAAGCACAATTCCATTAGAGCACCTGCTACTCAAGGAATCCTTTAATTATGACAAAAACCCAAATGCTTCAGCATACTTGCAGCTCAATCCATAAAACTTTAATATGTCGCAGTCATACTGTGATGGGGAGCTTTTCTGTACAAATTGAATTTCGAGCGGATAATGAAACTATCAATGAAAACAAACGAGGCGTTTTCGGTGTCTCTTCAGCCACTATAACGTTAAGACCATCAATCAGAAAGCTATGGACACTTTTATTGCAGGAATGGTGGATTGGACAGCACATGATGAGGAAGCCAATCCAAGCATCATCGAAGCAGAGCAGAAGCATCTCAGATATTAACTACTGCTGGGCAACGATTAATCGCGATTAATCACATCCAAAATAAAAGTTCTTGTTTACATGGTATATGTGTGTGTACTGTGTTTATTTATTATGTATATAAATACACACACACACACACACACATACAGTATATGTTTTGAAAATATTTACATGTATATATTTATATTCATATAATTTATATTATATATATTTAATATGTAAAAATAATATATTTTTCTTAAATATATACATGCATGTGTGTGTATTTATATTATACACATAATAAATATACACAGTACACACATATATTATGTAAACAACAACTTATATTTTGGATGCGATTAATCACATATTAATCATTGCCCAGCACTAATATTAACATGTCAGCTTTCTGGCCTTTGGATTATGAACACTTTGCACTTTGCATTACATTGTCTGTGGTGGTTAGAGATAGAACAACATATATGACTGTAGGAATTATTTTCATGTTAAGTTTAAGTTGAAACAATAAATAGATAATTAGACTACCACAATAAAAACATAACATCCATTAGTAATAATAATAATGATGATGATTATTATTAGCAGCAGTAGTATTAGTATTTATTTATTAATTTTAAAATATAAGTACTTTGAGGAGCTTTACATTTAAGTGCCCAATAACATTTTATTTCTGCATTTTGAAACAATTATAAATAGATTATTAGATTAGCTATATAAAAATATAAAATCCATTATAAATAATAATAATAATAATAAATGAATATAAAAATATAAGTATTTGAGCTGCGTAATAATTTTTAAATAATGTATTTATTTTTTTTAATATTCTCTCTATAATAAATGATATTTATTAAACAAATGGACAATGTAAAGTGTCACCCATTGTTATATCCGTAACTGAAGGTGGTAATAGTTAACATTGAGCAATACTGTTTTGCATTCCTTTACTAAAACACTAAGTACCCACATACTGGCCTATGAATGGCTGTAGATTTGAAATTAATTTCATAAACATCCACAGAAATGCATGGATTATGTCCAAAACGCAGTGACTGCTATTCTATATGGACCAATGTGCTGTTTCCCTTTGTATCAATCAACCAGGAATGCAATGACAAAAATATGACCAATTAAAATCGATAACGCCATTACAAAAAAAAAAATCAATGGCAACCGAGAGCATCGTGTATGAATGCAACAAAAAAATTGAAAGTAGAACAGTCGCTCGAACGCGCGTTACATTGTAACGCTGATCAACAAAAGATCTTTATTGCGTCATAATCGCTGTTACATTGTTACACATGGATGCGTCTGATTCTTTGATCGCGCCTCATATTTCCTCGTAACAGCGCTTATGATCGGCTCTCTCGATTGTTTAAAGGCCTCAAACTCCTCCAGACACCATTTTGAGCGTCTCTGTGTCTCAGCTCTATGGAATGTCCAAATGCATGACAAGGGAATGAACAAAGTCAGCTTGAAAAATCCCTCTCATTCCTGGATCCATCCCGAAAACGCCGTTCATCGATATTCTGAACTCGAATAGCTAAAGCGAACGCATTCGTTTTCTCTGAAATCACCATCAGGCAAATCAGAAAGAGCTTCACCATCACTAACACACACACACACACACACACACACTGGCAGGAGAAAGGCATTGCTGCTGTTTGATGGTGGTGAAGCTCTAATGGTGGTTGGATGGTGTTTCTGGACTTTAGAAAGGAAAACTTCATGAAATGGGACTTACCAGTGCGAGATGGTTTAGATGGGTCACCCTGATCCAGTCTGTGATCCCGGTTTAAAGCGATCTTCTGGGTTGCTAAGGGTCAGTCTATTCTCCGCGAGTGTGAAGGTTTCCTCCTCCGGTTGATTTTCAGGCTGTATGGAAGCACATAAAGCGATGGGGGATGGGGGATGCCAGAAGAGAAGAGAGGAAGGGAGGGGGGATAGAGAGCGAGAGAGGGGGGCAGTAACATAGAAACACAAGGGGAGGACCTCTGTGTCTGACGCACGACTGAACGCACCAGTCATTCAGTGCACCATCCATTCGCCATAATATGCGCGAGCAAAAATCATCCAATATGGCCAAATATGAATGCATGCGTCTGCATGAAAATAAACCACACTTCGTTCTATAACAACTCGCATGCATTACATCCTTCGTTCTGATAACTCACATGCATTTACATCCACGCATGTGCAGGGACTGGCCAAAACGAAAGTCAGAAAAATGCGCCAGTTTTCATTTCCACTAGAGAGAACAAGCACTGTTTCTTCATGTTTAATCTGGAAATCAAGGGCTTTTATCACACTTACAATTATTAAAATAATTAGTATTATTCAAACGAACGAACAAACAAATACATACCATTGATCATACCTATTTTTTCTAAACAAACAAACAAACAAACAAACAAACAAATAAATAAATAAAATAAAAAATAAAATAAATGCATATACACAGTGCTGGCTAGATTACTTACAAATTGTAGTCCGTTACTGATTCCAGATTACACGACAAAAAACTGTAGTAACGTAAATATATGTGAATTTACTTGCTGTATAATATTTTCTCATTGATACAAAAACCTTCGCAAAGAAACTAGTGAGACTTTGGTTCGCGCGCCCTCTGGTGTCTGTAATGCACCTCTACATTAGGGAGAGAAAGAGATGAAAGAGTTTTTTTTCCTGTGTCAGAAGATTCAAGCAATTGAAACAGGAAATATGTAAACTAGTCTCATATTTCAACAAGTGGGGCAATTGATAAATCTCAGTATCGTTCTGGCCAATTTCCTGGTGAACTGGATGAAGAGAAAGCAGCTCAGTCCGTTGGGAAAGATCAACAATGCCATCTAGTGTTTCCAACATGTTAGATCCTCACATTTCATCCGTATCAGCTTTCCTTTTGTGTTCTTAACAGATGATTTGAAACTTACAAGATATATTACATAAATTATCTTACAAAAAAGGAAATTACAGTACTTCGAAGAGCACAATTAAATTTCCATCATGGTATCAACAGAACACCATAGTGCATGTAAAATACATTTGATACCTTTTTATATTTTTCATTTAATGTGTCCCATTTCCATGTAGTTTAACTTGTAATACTCAAATAACTAAACCTAAATACACTTAGACTAAAACTTTTAGCCACATTAACATAAAAAACTAATAACAATTAATAACTAATAAAAATTACTAACACAACAAAGTTACTAAAACTAATTACAATTAAAGTGAAAACAGTAAATATAAGATACAATTTAAGAAAAAAAGATACTAAAATGACACTGTCTTTGTCTCATTAGGTAAAGCTGCTTGTTTTCCTCCTAAACCTCAAGCAAGCTATGACAGAAAATCCTCCCTGTTATGACAACGAATCACCACTAGAGAGAAATTGAGGTCTATTGGGCCAGAACATATGTTGGGCTCCACCCAAAGTACTGCGTGTCCTCAGCTTGGGAACAAGTTCAAAAGTCTCACTTGGTTTTGAATAAGTACCACAAGTTACATAACTGAGCATTTAATTAGTGTTAAAGGGGTCATATGATGTTGCTAAAAAGAACATTATTTTGTGTATTTGGTGTATTTATAGTGTTTATGCGGTTTAAGGTTCAAAAAACACATTATTTTCCCCACATACTTTGTTTCTCCTCTATCCCCTGCCTTTCTGAAACGCGCCGATTTTTACAAAGCTTATCGGTCTGAAAAGCGAGGTGTGCTGTGATTGGCCAGCTATCCAGTGCGTTGTGATTGGCTACGCGACGCGTTGCATTGCGCCGCATAAACATATAACCATGTCTGCATTTGTGATTGGAGAAATGACAAACAACAAGTGCTACTCTACACT